CAGTCCTATGCAGCATGACCTATTATACGTTACTGAAAAAGTATTGCGTTCCATTTATTGAAAGCAACTGATACCGACGCGAGAGCATTAATTTCACTGAAGCAAATTGGGTGAGGCTACATATTGCTATGAGTAACCACGAAACTGATCACCAAATATAGTTTGGTAATGCGGATCTAAATTTGACAGTTCCTGCTTGATTCGATTACCCGGACAGCAGTAGCATCGAAGCAATGAGAAAGGAGGAAGCTAAGGGAGCCAGAAGATACTACTATGTACAAGTGAACCATTAGCGTTTCTCACAAGGGCTCCCTTCAGTACATGTGCACAGGAACGCTGCGCTTTCCATAATACTCGTAATCATTTGCTCAAACCAACAGCTGTCCGTATAACATTATCTTAACTCTAACTTTATTTCTAGACATAATTTCAACCCTAAACCTGATCAACTGTAAATCTGACCCTTACAGTAAACCTAGTCCTAAACTACCCTAACACTAAGGCTAACATAATTTCATTGGAAGTTAGCACAAAAGCAACCGTATTATGGGACATTCCAATTTATTTTTCGCCTGCCGGGCATACAAAATTTTTTACCTCATTTTCAGATGGATTGACTCTCTTCCCTCCTTTCAGAAGGATCTCCTTTTTTCTACATCAGTATCTTTAATTCACACAGTTTTACAAAGGAAATCTGCAAACCAAATTTAATGGCGAACTCTCTACCACTTCATCAGTTGGCAACGAAATGGACACACCCGGATCCGGCTTCTTAGCTAGTACCGATGTCGTAGTGGAGAAGAATCATTAGCATATTCATACACTTAAGGAGGTGGCGTTCTTTAGAATGAATTTTTCACTAGCCAAAAAAATTAACACTCGTACATGCATGCATGAAAAGGGGGCAGATTCCGACCCTGGAGTGGTTTTAATGACTCGTCAAAGATCCATCACCAACGACCCTTCTCGTGTGTGCAGATTGTGTATGCATGGGACTTCAGCGATACTGCGGATATCTGTTACGCAGAGCAGCCCGCGGCATAAATGTATACGTGCATATAAATATCTTCTGGAGGGACAAAATTTAATACACTCTACCTAAGAACGAATAGGAATTGCGGAATCACACCATCTGTGGGATTGATTCTGACTCCCCTAGATAACAATTAGACGCTTCAGGTGCCCTATCGGGCACAGTGCCTGACATTTCGTGAACGTTGCAGGCCATTCCCGCCACTCACGCACTGATTCTCTACTGCGCTGATCTAGTGATCGTTAAATTACAAGTCTCCTCATAATTTTGACATGCGCCCTCCCAGGTATAAGCTTTTCCTGCCATAAAGATGCCGGGAAATTAAATTGTATGACTCTGCATCAAGGATTTGTGAAATGATGTTGTTTGCTGGTTCGTATGCGCCTGCAAATTGTCTCTGAATGTTTTTGGACAAACTGGGCGGGTAAGCTGTGCATAACGGGTGAAGATCGAAGCTCAAATCATGAGTCCGTTAGTAACACTGCAAATAATTCGGAAATGTTCAAACAAACTAAATCGTGATTTGGAAAGTCGGTCGCCATGGCGAAGAGTAAAAGCCTAACTTGTAGCGTTTTGTGAGGAGGGTATTAGAGAGTGACCTATTTGGATTGACAAGAGCAATATCCTTAGTGGAGATGCTGACGACGACGTCTTGTGATACTGGGGGTTAGCTGGTGATAGTGACAGTGCGTTGGGCTAGGAGGTGTTCAGCGAGACTCATCTCTCCACCGAGTTGCATTTACCAGTATGGACACGACGGAAAAGAGTATATGATAGCATCTGTAATTCGTAACATTGGGTCCATAAGTTTGCAGAAGTAACTGTATCCTATAAATACTGCAACTTCTTGTGCATCTTTTATGCATGTCTGCTTCTGCCTGTTTGCTGATGTTTCCAATGAAGAATCCACGATAGATGACGATACGTCAGGCGAATAAAAGTCTGGCCATAACTATCGCATCCTTTTCTTCTCGGTTGATGTTTGCCCTATGTTTCTTAACACTTGTGTCATGCAGGCATACCTCTGGCCTTTTAAACGTCTACCAGCTTTCACAGCAATTGTCGCAACTTTATGGTGGCGCACTACGCTTGCCAACTCTGCGCTTAGCCTTGCCAGGGCTGATCTGCATGCGCTTAAGAAGTCTCCGAAATGTCCTTTTGGTACTTCTGTTCTGCATCTTGTTTGCGAGCACATGTAGCGACGTTGTATTAGAATAATTGTTACTGAAGATGCAAATCATTCACCCGCACAATGCGACCGCCCCATCGCTATTGTAGCTGCGTCTGTACGACGCAGATGTCGAACGACCACATTATTTTAATGAACTTAGTGTCCGTCTAGGTTTGTGTTGACTCACTATGAGCAGGCGAACATGTGCCAAGGCTCACCGTCGCCAACGAGTACACTCGCACTGGTCCCCTACGCCCGTCTGTCTAGCCGATCCACTGCGCCAATCACTTGTCAAGGTCGATTCACATAAATGCCGCTCCAGACGCTTTGACGATTTCCTGAGTCACATTACTTCGCAAGTTGCGCTGTGGCTGGCGGTTGCCCGCTCGTCTGACAATCAAATTCTACTTACCTACTATCCATTCCTTCTGTACCGAATAAACTTCTCCTACTACTCTAGCCTCCCATGACTTCCTTTCTCCTAAGGAACGGCGCCTGAAGATGGCATTCGCCTGGCTTGAACTAACTTAGTCCCTGCGATAGGTCAGTGCTCCTTCAATGCTCTTCAGAGGCGGCTAAAATGAAAACGGTTTCGATTCTTCTGGCCGGCTTTCTTTCATCACCCTACACTTATGCGAGCGTCGTTAGGATAATAGGCCCGTAGATACTGCTTTTCGTAGTGATAATGCCGTAAACATGTCGAACTGACCTTGGAAGTCTGTCGAGGGCCTGAAGATGCAGATTGCTTCATTGCGTTTACAGCTGATGTTTTTTTCGGTATTCTAACCCATGTGTAGGTTAATTTGTCCATTGATGCGGAAGTCTCCGTCAAAGCTTATAAAGGACGTTTTCGATCGTCAGTTTGCGTCACATTAATAAGTGACTACCTCCTTTCTGTGTTAATGATTGGACCAGATAATGGTGGAGATGAGGCCGGGGAGGCTACAACCGGGTAACCAAGCATATTTAATTCCACCTGTCGTTACAGTACTTTGCACGATGCGTCCCCTTTGCATTGGCGTGACCCATTACTTTATCGTTCAATCGTTTATTTATTTGTATGAATTCCTTCAGACTTCCAAATGCCAGTACACTATTTTTTTCCGACAGAACTTTACTGACACAGCCAGATTCCAACGACCAATAAAACTAATGTGCATATAAATCGATGCTCAAAGCCTATTCTCTAAATTAGGCGGACTTAATATTATTATGTGCTAAGTGGAACTAGATATCGTCTATATAACATAAACATGGTTGACATTGTAACTTACCATACTAACAGTTTAGGTACTTGAATATACTGATATATACCGCGATCAGAAATTAATTTCTCTGGAGAATAAAAAGCTGAAATAAACATGGTTGTCCGCGAAGGTAGGCAATCGGGAAGTTGCTCACTCCGGTTGTCGGTTGTTCCGAAAAAAATAGAGCTGAGCGTCAAGGTGGGGTGTACTCACTTATGTTAGACATGGACAGTCCGTGTCAGACAAAACTGAACAGGTCTCGGCCCTTTGGCTCACGATAAGAACACCAGGATCACAAGCTCCTGACATTCTGACGGTTTATCGACCACCGTCAGGCGACCCACAGTCAGATATTCATCTGATAGGGGAAGTGGAACCATTTACTGTGCGATCTGATTTCATGATTATGGGTGACTTAGCGCTCCGCGTACCGAGTGGAATCTTAGTTCTGCGGCCAGGTCAGAAGTAACCTTTAATCGCTGACTCTTAGGCACAGTACAAAAATTCTCCCTTACGCAACACATATTATCTCCGAATACGTGAAGGTCAACAAGCCAAATGTAATGACAAAAGCGCCAGACAGCGTAGGCATCGTTAATTGTTGACCTTCTCTCGGCAAAAGTGGCCACGTAGTACTACACTGAGAGTGTTCACTCTTATCTGTACCTGATCGTAGCACGACCATCAGGCACAGTATATGGCGCGGAAATTTTTGTCAAATGTAAAATAAAGTGCGCATATTAGACTAGAAGCAAACATTAACCCGGTGCATGCTCGGAATTGGTCGGCGTTTAAGGCCATATTATCACCGGATTCTGTCCTGTCTTAAAAAAGAAATTCACAGACAGCCTCAGTGGCTAACGAACGCACTGAAGAGAGAAGTAAATCGTTAAAGATAGCTGTGGCAACCCTATTTTAGAGGGAATACCACCGGGTTGCAAGATGAGTACAAGGTGCAGAGAAATAGGGCGAAGAGCCTGTAGTGGGTCGTTGCCTGCTCGTTGTCTGGCTTTCTTCTCGTGATCTCAATCTGTCTGGACCTCAAGGCCGTTGCGACTGCTGCGAGAAACAGGCCACCCACGATGTCCACCAACGGTTTCGAGCATACGCTATCCACCCGCACACTGTCCACCCGCACGGTGTCCAACCAATCACAGGCCGACCTAGCCAATGGAACCGCTCTCTCTCTGTCTCCTGGCCTAACGGCTCTTAAACCTAACTTGGAATTGCGCCTCGTGCACGGCGGTCGTGACGACGCCAGCCTCACGGTTGAACGCCTTGCAAGACCAATTGGCGACTTTCCCCTTCCTCTCTGTAAACAATATAATGTTCCGCCTACTCTCGCCTTTCCACCGTCTTCTCATCTATCTCCTAAGGAACCGGGCCTCGAAGCTTGTAGGTGTTAGGGTTAATCGTCTTAGCCTTAACTCCTATAAGCCTGGTATTAAAACTGTCATGCAGAGGAGATTCCGACCCTTGACTCAGTGGATCTCACGGAAGTTTCTGTTCTGCAAGAACATCTAAACCGCTAAGAAACGAAGTTGCCAGGTCCTGATGGAATACCTGCGAAGCTGTTAAAAAAGCTAGCCTTGTAGTTGGCAAAACCCCTGTACTTAGTCTTTCGTGCCTCCCTTAATACAGGCCAATTGCCACCTGTTTGGAAGATAGCGTGGATTTCACCCATTCACAACATAGGAGTCGGGCGTCCGCAAACAACAACAGGCTGGTTAGCATACATTTACTATGGTGCAAGATTATGGAGCGAGTAGTCAAAATCACTTTGATGCAATTTTTGGAGCGTCATCGACTTTTTACTGACAGACAGCACGGATTCCGTAGAGGACGGTCCTCCTTGGCCAATTTGCTCTATTGTCTAGACCCATGGACCCGAACACTCGATGAAGGAGTTATGGTGCATGCATTCTTCATAGACTCAAATAAGGCATTCGACACTGTGCCCCATCAACGTCTCTGATAAAAGCTCAGCCCTATAGGGGTAATGGGCGACCTTTTGCCGTGGATCAAAAACTAACTGACCGGTTGATCTCAGAACGTATGTCTTCGTGATCAGCGAACGGCGGAGGTAGCGGTTGAGAGTGGGGTTCCCCAAAGTGCCGTTCTAGGCCCTATCCTCTTTCTTATGTATATCGACGACTGCATAAGCAGATTAGACTGCGAAATCATAACGCTTGCTGATGATTTAAAACTGTGGAAGGTCATACGTAACGAAGATGATGAAACAAATTTGCATCGACTCGAGCAATGGTCGAATAACTGGGTCCTGCCATTCAAGGTTGCCAAAAACGACAATATGCGCTTCTGTAGAACCAATACTTCGCATCGAAGGATGTATTACCTCATTCATACACTTTCCCTAAAGCCAACATTCTACTGCTTGAGAGTGACCAAATCCGCAATATTCACGTTGTATCTCATCAAGCGCGCCTTTGCTAGGTTCAATTAAATATGCTTTGGTAAGATCTTTAGGACATTTTTGCGATCCTAATTGCAGTTTTCCATCCAAGCCTGGAGACCTTGGATAGTCAAAGACCGAAAAACCCTTGAAAGTGTCCAACGACACGCAATCAAGTTTGTTATGAGGCACTCTTGACCAAAATTGACTTATTTCCTCTGGATTACAGGCAGCTACGGGGTGACATAATACAGGCATTTCGCATGCTGTGGGGTAAGGATTGCTGCCTTGTACCCACCGATTACTTTCAGCTGACCACTACCGATAGATTGCGCGGACCTCCTCTCAAACTGCGTGTGACTGGGGTAACATTGACCTACGAAAATCCTTATTCTTTAAGAGCGGAATTCAGGCATAGAATGCTCTGCCTGCGGACATTGTCCGACTTCGTCCCTGGACACGGTTACGGTGAAGTTCGACCGGTATAGCCACCACGTCTTTTGAGGTTAGCACTAGGCAACCGCTAGAGGATCCCATTGAGTATTTAAATGTTATACTACTTACTATTTTCAGTAGCATTTGTTCAGAATTATTACCTCGTACGCTGTACTTTTTATGCGAACTGCAACGAGCGCTTAAAGCATCGCTTGCACCGAACCTTCTGGTCCTAGGCTACGCGGGCCTGTACATTTCTTCCTAATGGCCGTCAGTAGCCGAGTGCTGATGATCGTGGCGCGCCCCTCTGTTTCGTCTCCCAGTCGGCAGGCTCAGTAACCAGCAAGGGCCTATGCTAGACGCATCTCCAATACTTCGGTGATGTTATCGTGATCTCAGAAAGCTTCTCCTCCTGTGACCCATAGGAGATCTATGAAAACTTTTATGGTCTCCTTCTGACATGATTTAAACCCTCTCAGCAGCAGGCCATCCTATCTCGCATACACTTTCGCCCACGAGCGACAGTTTGTCTCCTTGAAATCCCTCGAATGGCATTCAAACTTCTAGAATTTCTGAACAATGTCTTAGGAGATTTTTTCCCCGCCTGTTTCTTTTTGCCCCAGTTGCATTGACCGGCATCACCCCTCTTTAGCAATGTTCTCCTGATAACTGCTTTGTACCAATAAGGAGTTTAAAGGCATATTGCCCTTAATAAACCTGACCTGACCTGACCTGACCTCGTCAGCACCACGAATACGCTTAAGAGGCTAATTCACAGAATGTTTAGCACTTGCGTACGCATGAGAAAGTCACCTGATGTCTTTATCGCGTGTTGTGGATAGGTAGCTCATGAGGTGCTCGGCTACAGGGTATTCGACATCTCCGACAGTATGTTGGCACCGGCTGTGCTGAACGCTAACGAACTCCTTAGCTTATCAGAAACAATTACTCCGATGTCTGCGAAAATTTCCCTCATCTTACCACAGTCGCCTTATGGTCGAAGAACTTGGGCCCTTCAAGTTGGCCAATCGCTTTGCATCTCCCTCAGTTCTGTTGCAGAGGACTATCGGCATTGGTTCTCTGGTTGGCATAGTTTGGGTTCAATCGTTTTTTTTCGTATAGCAGACGTCTTATATCCTCATCGATGTCGTCTGAGCAACTGCCTTGCTGCCGAAAGCTTTATCAGAATGTTTTCCTTTGTACCAATAGGAGATTTAGACGATTATTAAATCAAATATACACACAATCCTCTTCTACAACGTTGTACTTAACTGGACTACATCTCGATTCCCTAATAACGTTTGTAGCCTCATATTTTCAGTCTCATTTTCGGAACGACAGGGCAAAGAATCATCTAGTAGTTTACAATACACGAAAGTTACGACCATCGCTTCCATTAAGGTCCGCCGTTTGCTCCATCGAGTGGTGGTGCAGGTACGGCAGCTTAAACGTGAATTAATTTTAAGGGACAGTAGACTTGCACTGCAGCTAACGCACTCTCTATTCCCTCATGCATCCGACCCCGGCGCCACGACAAGATCAAGAATAGAGGAAGCGAGGAAGGACGCAAGCAGCTGGCGCGGTGTGAGCCTGCAACTACGCACGCCACCATCATGCCTGGCATTAATAATGCGAGCGCAACCCGAATAATTCCTGCCGTGCCCTAAGCTACCCCCACTGTTCAGCCAAGGCATCTAACACGCAGTTCGTTTAGGGGCTTGAATTTGCGTTATACATTTTCTAAGTTATTATCAACTCACACTGGTCAGGCCCTCTGATGATCACGGATCTAGCAGCTAACAGAGGTGCCAACCGATGAGCATCCACGCAGCATTTTTTTCCGAAATGTAGGGCTGATGCATGTTTTGTTGGGGAGAAGGGCATGTCCTCTGCACCCGTACAGCTGAAGATGCAATTGCGGCCTAACGCTTACAGGTAGTGTGGCCAGTGCCTATGGCGGCGTTGAGATCATTGTGGCCAATCAGTTGGTGTACACGCAGCACAGTCACTGGAAGCGCGCAAAGCTCTTCGTGGAATTTATCCTTCGTTTCATCGAAGCATATAACCGAGAGAACAATTGCACTAACAGAGGTGGCGAAGTCTCCCGCCGTGCGATGTGTCAGTCTCTTGTGTACGCGATTTTATGCACGCAGTGGAGCATCTGTCTCAAAACCGTTGTTTTTGGTAATGGAAGCGACTCCAGGGTGTTTCCGCTCTGTCCTTGAAAGTTTCACCCGGAAAATTTCTATCCTGCACCCACCTCCTCCAGCTGGCCCTGTTCAGAGAAGTGAGTCTAAAAGGCGCAATGTCCA